TGACTGTTTGGGTCCCTGGCAAGAATCTCTACAGGATACATTACCAGATTTTTGTTGCTGGGCTTAGAGATGTTCACCTCATCATCAAACGTGGTCCAGCCAGTGGCTTTCCTCCTGAGCTTTTCCTACTTCCCAAGTCTAAGTGTTGTTAGAGTTTTTAACTTTGGTTATCACTGTAAGAGGTCCTTAAAAGCTACTTTTGCTGGGCCCACAAATTAACTAAAAGCAGAAGAAAAGCTTGGCACTCTCCCTCCATTTTTAAATGGGTCTTTGCTGTAAGCCATTGTCTCTGTAGTCACTTTGTAGTCACCTGGGAATCTGGGAAAGGCATGACTGATCAATAACATCAGAATGATAAGGATGGAAGCTACCCTTAGGGAACTGTAGAACATTACAGAACAAGTCACCCTGCAGTGATGACAGTGGCAACAGTTCCTCTTCAGAACCCCTCACAAAACAAATTCTGAAATAACCATCAACCAGGCTCTATTCAGACTTATGCATACCTGTCTGCTCCTTTCCCCAGTTCCTTGTCTATTTAAAGTTAAAGCTCACATCTTTATCCTAAAGACAGCAGAAGTCTGCTGCTTCTCATGGTTGCCACAATCTTTCTCTGCTCTTTCTCTGCTCTCTCTGTTTGTTTCACAGAAGCAGGTAGCCAGATCTGACATGTACAATTCTTGGAGTTTGTGCCTGGTATCTAAAAATTCTGCTTTCATATTAATAAGATTTTAAGGAGATGCCATGGTTTAATTTATTTCTCTGAATAGTCTGAAGCAGCATATGGCTATTGGTTTGCTTATGTTTCCTGTTCATTCGTTTCTTTTGCCTGTAGTGCTGTTTCAGTTTCATTCATAGGTGAATGGTATGTGTTACAAATATTCTCTCCACACTTATGTATATGTTAAAACCTTTTTAAAAGGATACCTTCAATAGCACTTTTAAATTTTCATGTGGTAAATATGTTTATATTTTTCCTTTATGACTTCTGCTTTTTTGCATTTCTAAGGAAAAGTTTCCCCATTGACAAGGCCATAGAAATATTTTTCCTTCTCTTTATAATAATTTGAAAGTGAAATTTTAAAGCCTTCAGGCTATAAGTCTGTTAATGATTTTTTAATTATAATTATTTTGTGCTGGTCTTGAGGCCTGAACTCAGGGCCTGGGTGCTGTCCTTAAATATTTTTGCTCAAAGTGAGCACTCTTATCACTTGAGCCACAGTTCCACTATGCCTTTTTGGTGATTAATTGGAGATAAGAGTCTCATGGACTTTCCTGATTGGACTGGCTTTGAATCACAATCCTCAAACACAGTCCTCAAATCTCAGCCTCCTGAGTAGCTACGATTATAGGTATGATCAACTGGTATTTAATTGTGACTTTTGTATCTGTTATGAAATGAACTGAAATATCTTTTTTTCATGTGGTTAGCTAACCTTATTGATTATATAGTTTATTTCCATATCTTTGAAATGCTACCATGTACATCTATCAATATCTATCTTTATTTGAGGATTCCATTCTGCCTTATTCCTAATTCAATAGCTTACTGTTTAAATAACTGCTCTTTTATAATATAAATATTCAGTAAGCAAATTTGCCTCTTATTTGTTATTCTTAAAATCTTGTGTATGGACTATTCCACCATATTTTCTCTTCTAGGATCAGTTAGTTATTTCATTACCTAAGAAATATTGTTGGAACTTTTGATAGTTATTTAAATAAGTGTGGAAATATTCCAAAGATATAGATTATGATTTATAGCCCTCAAGATGCATTATTTTGCATCCTGTATTTATTAGTCCCACTGGATAAAGAGCAGATAGACTCAAAATCTGTCAGGATGTTCTTTAAAAATAGTAAATCTAAAGTATGAATGCAATATTATGTTTTTGGGGGGTGACTTAGTGATAAGAAAGTACTTGAACTTCTAGCTTAGTTCTGTGGCAAACCCACTTTAAATAAGCAATTTTACATAGAGAAAAAGCCCTGGAAAATTGTGCCTCCACTTTTACTAGAAGAAACCACCAGTTCATGACTTGTCTGCTCCTCAGGGGGGTGAAGCCAGAAAATGACAATTGAAGTAGCAGCCTCTGTTGTGTTATGAGTTTTGTGTTACATAATGCCACTGCCTTGACTTTTCTCTTGGATAGCATGTCACATTTGAAGACCTCAGGGCACATTATGAACATTAACTAATTAAACTTCACAAATCCCAGGAGACATTGGAGAGAGAGCGGTATAGCATCACCTTGCCCAGCTCTGAAATGCAGCTACCTCTGGAGACAGGGTGGCAGCTGCTTAATAATAAACTATAACACCTCACGACAGTTTAGCCAAGACAATTAGTCATTGTAGTTGGTAATTGTCTCATGAACATTAAACTCTCTAAATTGTTGTCACCAAGATTATTAGTTACTTGGAAATCCTAATCTATTTATTAAGACTTGTTTTACTTCTCAGTAATTTTATCCTATTTATATAAGAATATATACACAGTGTAGGTCTATGCTCTTAGGTGGTGGATTGTTTTTAGATTGGTCTTTTGTAGTTTAAAACTTAAAATAGGAAAGAAGTTTCTTGTTTTGTTTGCTTTTGTAGTATTAGTGATTAAACTCAGGACATTATATATGCTAGGTAAGCGGAAGCACTTTACCACATATCCCCAGCAGGAAGAACTTTAAAAATAAAGTACAATGTAAAAAATTGAGAACTCTAGTTATGAGATGTGAGTGGTTTTTCTTTGGGGGACACTAATGAGGTTTAACTCAGGGCCTCATAACGAGCAGGTACACTATTGCTGAGCAACACCTCCAGCTCTGTTTCTTCTGCTAGTTATTTCCTGGACCATAATCTATCTATTTTAGACTTCCCTGTAGTTGCTGGTATGATAAGTGTGTATCACCACATCCAGCCTCCCTCAACTGAGATGGAATTTCATAGATTGTCTTGCCTGCTCTGGTCTTGAACTACGATCTTTCTATTCTCAACCTCCCATGTAGTTTGGGGTGACAGGTGTGTGCCCCTGCACCTAGATATAAGTTGAGGAAAAGTCTTGCAAACTTTGCTCCTTGGGCTTGCATTGAACTGTGGATCCTTCTGTTGTCAGCACTCCAAGTTGCTAGGGTTACAAGCCTGAACCACTAGTACCCAGCATGATCTGAGTGGGGTTTTTTTTTATTCAAAAGTTTGCTACTAGGCAAAACTAGTCAGATAGTAGAAGTCAGAATAGGTATAATTGACTAGACAGGGAGATGCGGGACGCTCCTAGGAGTTGAAAATGTTTTGAATATCAACCCTGGTTTACACAGGGTCAATATATGTAGGAACTGACTGAGCTGTATATTTTTCCATGTGTTTTACCTCAAGAACAATGTAAATCTGAAAAAGGCACACTGCTCTTGTCATCAAGAAAGTGCTTGAAGACTGGAAAATATTGCAGAGCACGAGAATAATACTTAGAAACTAGAGCCATGATACATTTTTATTTTTCTCCAAAGCATCTTTCTTCAAAAGAGGGATTCTGAATCTTTTCTCAGGAAATTTTCTCTTCATGTCCAAAGAACAACCTTTTATGGCAGGATGTGATTCTCTCCCATTGTATCTTTCTCACTATGCTGTTTTTATCTCCCTGGGCATCTCATTTTTCTCTTAGAATCTCATTCTAGTTCATTTGCTGTTCATTCATTGCCAGAAATAGGTAGAAGGCATTTCATGATCCATTAATTTAAGCAGAAAGATGCATACAGGAGCTGTTGCATTGACAGGTGTTAGAAGAGTTCTAGGGAGAGAAGGAAGCAAAGAAGACCCTGGGATGGTTAAAGACAAAGGTAGAGCAGCATGCCCATGCTAGCAGCAGAGACTCTAGGGAATGTCCGGGGAGACAGGGTCCCTTCTGCATCTGGACAGAGCATCCCAGGACAGCTAGCAGCTAAGACCCAAAGACTGAGAACAATATATCAGCTGGGAATCTCCTAGCAATGCAGGCATCAGGCAAGGCAGAAGACAGAGAAGTTACTCTTGCTGTGGTGGATTTTCTAAATCCCCTTCCTAGTGCATGGGGGGGGGGAAAGGAGAGAAAAAAGGAAGTTAGGATTGTGAGAAAGTCAGAGGGAAGCGTAAAAGTCCTTTTTAAGAGAAAATAGGGTATACTTTTTTTCTTACTGCAAGTTTTAGTGCAGGTTTAAACACATGATGAATACTCTGATTATTGACCTTTTTTTTGTCAGTTGTGGGACTTGAACTCAGGGCTTGGGCTCTATCCCTGTGCTCTTCAGCTCAAGGCTATGACTCCACTACTTGAGTCACAGAGACACTTCTGGTTTTCTGGTGATTAATTGGAGATTAGAGTCTCATGGACTTTCCTGACTGGGCTGACTTTGAACTGCAATCCTCAGATCTCAGCCTCCTGAGTAGCTAGTATTACAGGCATGAGCCACCAGCACCTGGCTGATTATTGACTTTCTAAAACATATTAAGACAATAATGTTCAGCTCTAATTCTCTGGCTTAGGAAATATGAAGTGAATTTCATAGCCATTGTCAGACTCCCAAGTTTACTCTCTCATTTCCCAACGAAGAGAGAGTTGTCCTTGTGCCTAACCCATGGCATCTAGTAGCTCCAAAGTAGTTGATTGTGGTCTTTGTCACATTTTGTCTTAAGATCAATTCATAGCTTGCTACTTAGGAAGGCATGATAACCAGTTGTTAATAAACTTCAAAAGGTAGTGATGTCAAAAGAGCCTGTTGGCCAGTGACTGGCAGAGGTCCTTTAAGCACCCCTTCCCTGGGGCAGGATCATTTCCTTTCCATCATGCACAAGAGGTTGCAGAGAGGTTGAAGGGGAACTTGCTAGGATCTTAATGTTGGTCAGGATAGGTTTTGGAGTACTTTCAGTTACACCATTGTTTAGAAATACTTGGACCATGCCACCCAGTTTCCTGAGATTTTGTAAGTATCTATTCTGTATTTTCCGTTCTTACTCTGCTCTTCCTCTCAAAGGTGCTGTTTTCTCAAAATCCTCAAGGTCACGGGAACAAGTTCCTCCAGAGGTTTTGGAGCAATTTCAGGTAAAGGAGACCTCCCCTGCCTGGGGTATGGAAATGGCCCTGGACCATCAAGTGCTTTTCTAACTCTAGGGTCATTACCAGCAGGTTCTTGTATCTGGAGCAGAAAAAGGCTCATAAGCACAAAGGTCAGGAGATGGACCTGTTTGTAATGTTGGATCAAAATATCATGAATACGATCCAGGCCAGATCAGAACTTCAGCCCTTCCCTACCTTCCTGGCTGCCTCTCCCATGTTTTCTGGAGGCTGGGACAGAGAAAGCTGCTGATTTAAAGCTGGTTCTGAAATCCAGCCTTTCTGAAAAACCTTGCAAGTCTTCTGCCTACTCAGGTGCAACAGCATGTTTTCTCCTGACCTGACTGCCCTGTGTAGTCTACAGAAATGTCTTTCTCAATTCCTGGAAGAGCTACTGGCTTTGCAGTCCTTGCCTGACTTCAGGGGGAGACTCTACTGTACCTGCCACTGCCAGCATGAGAGGGTTTTATGCTGCCACCCTGTCTTAGGCTGAGGGGAGTTTGGGATTGGCCTGAGATAGAGTAGATAGAATTTGGTTGGTGGGTCCAAGAGTCCAGTCACCTTTTCCTTGGGCCCCCAATAATATCAAATTGCACACATTTTCTGGGCTGTAGATCTCCATACCCTCCTACTTGCTCATCCATTTTGTCCTCAGGAACTAGGCCATTCAGGTTTCCTCCTTTTAGAAGACTTCATCAATAAAATGGAGAAGGAAGGATTAAAAGAAATGCACTCATGTCTCTCTTAATATCCTGGTACTATATCAGTACTGCTTATTTGCCATAAGCTGTGTTTCACAATACAGTTCGTTGGGCTTGTCTGAGCCCTACATCTATTTGTCCCTAGAACCTCTTCTGTAGTCCAAAATTAGGGACAGGTAGATAAATATTGCTTCCTATGCTCTAGCTCCCTCTTTCCTTTCTTTTTTTCTCCTTTCTTTCTTTGGACCAAACAGTGTTTCCTTTACTTGAAAATTCACACAGAGATCAGAGAAGGGAGGGAGTCTTCAGGTCACCTTGATTGTCCTGATTTTCATGATTGTCACTATGGAAAAATTCATGTCTATCTCCCAAATCACAAAAGGACAAAATTTGTAGTGGTTAGGTATCATAATTTATTCAATGAGTAGAGATTTATTCATGCAGATCAGGTGCTTATAAAGATCAGGCCTTCTGCTAAGTGCTGAGAGTATCATAAGAACAGGTCACAGCATTAGCCTGCAAGAGATTATTCATGATGGAAAGAAGAGAAAGGCTTCCAGTGAAATATATGAATATGAAGGTAGGATACAAGAACAGGCAGCTAAAAGGAGATCGGACTTTTTAAAAGAAGATTGGATGGGGGCTGGGAAGGTGGCTCATTGGTAGAGTGCTTGCCTTGCATGCATGAGACCCTGGGTTCGATTCCTCAGTACCACATAAGCAGAAAAAGCCTGAAGTGGTGTTGTGGCTCAAGTGGTAGAGTGCTAGCCTTGAGCTGAAGAGCTGAGGGACAGCACCCAGGCCCAGAGTTCAGGCCCCACGACTGACAGAAGAAGAGGAGGAGGAGGAGGAAGAGGAGGAGGAGGAGGAAGAAGAAGGAGGAGGAGGAGGGCATAGATCATTGAGGGAAATGAAACTAATGAATGGGATTATGAAATACCAAGAACCTATACTTCTGAATGAAATGGAGTAAGCGACTGACTAAGTGGAATAACAGAGACTGGATTTACTGCCTTGTCTAAAACAACAAAAAAGTGGCTAAAATACATAAACAAGGCATCGTTCCAAGATCTGTCACTGTAACAAAGTTAAGCATAGAAAATGAGCCATGCAAATCCTGTGATTGTCTTAGTTTAATGCCCAGAGCAAGTTTCCTGACTCCCTCACAGTACAGGAGAAATCTTAAGACATCTTGAAACTGAAAAGACAGATCTATAAGTTTAAGGTGGAAAATAAAATCACTAAGGTTTGAAGGACAGGAGCAGAAAGGAAGCTTCAGAAAGATAGAGATCATTTGTCATCAGGGTTCAATTGAATTTTCATCTGAGTACTAAGGGTAGATTGAGGAAAGAACCTTCCTAGAGGGTTAGATAACAATGTCCAATGCTTATAACAAACTGGGAATACCAGTCCTTTTACTAGCCAGACTGGAAACTATTTCACAAGGCATGGGTAAAGGGCATGGAAGAGTCTTGCCTCAGTAGAGGGGAATAATTTGTTCTGAAGAAAGCACTTCTCCAGTTCTGTCTGATAAATATCTCTACATATTTATCTAGAGATATCTAGATATCTAGAGATATTTATCAGACCAAAAGGATCAAATTGTTTCTAAGTATCTTTACTGATCTCTAAACAAAATCCAAGAATATTTGTATTACTATAAAATTATCCTGTGAAATTCACAATATTTAGGACCCAATAAAACTTCTATGTACTAAAAAACTGGGAACATATGATGCACAGGAAAGATATAAATCCACTAATTGGAACCAAACCATCTGAACATATTTTAGAATTAGTGGACAAGAACATTAAAATGATGCATTTTAACTATATTTTATATGTTTAAAAATTAGAAATATAAAACATGAGAGTGTTCCAAAACAAATTTCTAGATGTAAAAACTATAATGAATAAGTTGAAAAATACTGGAAGAATTAACAGAATGGAAGAAAGGATGAGTGAACTTGAAACAGAGAAATGAGAATAGTTTTTTTTAAAAGATGAATGTATCAATGAGATAAAATTCAACTTTAAAAAACTAAATGTGTGAATTTACAAATCTACATAGAAGAAAAGAGAGGTTAAAAAGCTGAAGAAATAATTGCCAAGAATCCTTAATAAATTAGCCTATATGTACTAGAAGTTAAACAAGAAACAGGAAGAAAACTATACCAAAACCAACACTGATCAAATAGTTGAAAGCCAGCGAGGAAGAGAAAATCATAAAGGCAGCAAGAACCTCATGGGGGTGAAAGACTGAGTCAGGAACAGGGTATCCTTACAAAGGTAACAATATCCTTACAAGGTAAAGATGACAATAAATTTATTGCTAGAAATAATGCAGCCATAAAGTGGTATCAAATCCAGGACCGTGCATATGCTAGGCATATGCTGTACTAAGCTATATCCCTAGGACTGTAGTCATATTTAAAGAACTGCAGGGAAAAAAAACCCAGTCATCTTAGAAATCCGTACTCAATAAATATATTTCTTTCAAAAATAAACGTGAAAGGGAACTAAGGCCAGCAAGACAGCTTATTAGAGGTGTCTGCTGCTCATCCATGCACACACACAAGAAAGGAACAGAATGAAAGAAAAACAAGTATTTAATGGGAGTGTCAGAGTGCAGTAGAGATACGGCAGACATTTAGTGGCACTACACCGTTGTGTAGTGGAGTGTACCACAACCATAGAAAAATTCAACTCAGAGTTATACATAACAAGCCTGCAGAACAGCTTAAAATGTTGTCTTTTCTATCTCTCCCTCCTCCTCTCTCTCTCCCTCCATTGTTCCTTCCCTCCCTCCTCTTTCCCCTTCTCTTTGTCCCTCTCTCACTCCCTTTGTCTCTTCTCTTTCCCTGTCTTCTTCCCTCTTCCTATCTTCCCCTCTCTTCCTTTCTGAAGTGGAAGCTGTTTTCATTCCCCCACCCCCACCTTTTTCTTTATAGATGAGGAAACTGAGGATCCATTACTTTCGTAGCCAGTTGGCAATGGTACCAGGGTCTGAACAGTGGCAGCCTTTTCTAGAATTGGGGTCCTAAATCACTATAAATGCAGTAAAGTCTTGTGTCTTGCCATTGTCATTTGCAGAGCAAAATCATGGACGATTTGAGACTTGATGAATCTCTTTCAGCACTGAGCGATAGTGACATACAGGTAGGTCTTTATTCTTCAGCCTTCCTAGTTGTTGTCTCTTGCACCTGGTTTTTTACAAACCACTGTCCTTAACCCCTGCTCCATAAAGCCTCCTCTCATTATCACTGACCACATTGTGGTTAAGCTTGGTCATATTCCTGAGGTCCTTCTGGTTTCAGACCGATGGACTTCCCAAGGGTCAGCCTGCAAATCCTCAAGAACCCTGAGGAGGCAGAGTACAGGAGTTAGACCCATGATGTCAATGGGACACCAGCACAGAATACTGCACCCATACATTGGAGCTCTGTGGGAAGCCAACTCATTGCTGTCCGGATTCTGAGCAGTTAAGGAGTCTGTGTAGAAGTCAGCTTGGGGGTACAGGTGCCATTTTTTAATAGAGAACAAATAGGACTCTGACATAAATGAACTTCCCATTTCTCCTTGGGGAAGGATCTGTCGTCTCCCAGGCTATCTACAGGGAAGAGAGACATCCACGCCAGGAGCAAGATGTGCTGCCAGAGAGAGATGGCTCTACGTAGGCACAGGTCCACTTTCTGAGTCCATATTACCATAGGTTGTTGGGTCCCTGCCCCCATCCCCATCCCCATGGCATTCGTTCACCCTGAGGATGAGGGCTGGAAGTGCCTGGTGTTTTGCTGGGACTGTACTTGCAGCAAACCAGACTCTTTGGGGATCAACCATCAGTCTGCGACTGAAGGGAGCTGGAATCAACAAATTAGCTCCTTTACCTCTGAGGATGGGACAGGACTTGAGTGTATTTTCTACAGTCTCCCAGAGATTTCTATGGGATCAGAACCATGGCCGAGCCCATTCCTGACACATAAGTGTTGATGGCCTTCCCTTACCTACTCTCTCTGCAAGATTTCGCAGCACAGCCACTGACGAAGACCCTTAGCTCAGGGTTTTCTTCCAGAGGAACCCACACGAAGAGGATTATTTACCAAAGTTCATTGCTTGTACCCAAAGGGCGACAGAAGTTGCACAGAGGGTGATAGTTTTCTATCCAGTTTCTAAGACAGAGGCTATTCTTTTAGGAAACTAAACAAGGATGCAGAAGGAAGCCAGAATGTCCCCTTGTCCCCGAATAGAATCTATTGAAACCCCAGAGAGCCTCTGGATAAACAGGCAGATCAATCTCCTATGTTTATTTTCTGACCCTTCCAGTAAAAAACACCGAAATGACAAGGAGTGAAAAGGGCACACATCCACAAAGACAACAGGAGGGAAAGGAGTTATTGAAAGATAAGCACTTTGAAAATATTTAGAATCAAGAAAATCGATGGCGTTTACATTGTCTTTGCACAGCTGAGGAAGTTGATACTTGAGTCTCTATGAGAGACTGGTGTGTGAATTCTCCACAAGGTCAAGGGCTTAGAGGTTCTCCTGAAATGGAGTGAGGAGTGGAGCTGAGCATAAAGGATGTCTGACAGGCTGGACCTCCAGGGGACTGTTCTCTAGAGAAGTTAAACAGACTCTTAAGTTCAGGTAGAGCCTGAATTTATGAGGTTTTGTACCATATGAGGTAATGGTGACAGTCAGAGAATGGAGGAGCAAAACTTCTATATTTCAAATAGAGTATTTTTCTCCCTTCCTCCAGCCACATTCTCTGAGTACCAGAAACCAAGTGCTTGTAAGAGTTTAGTGTTGTTGTGATAACAAATCACCATTTGGTGGCTTAAAACAACACAGATCAATTACCTTACATTCTTTGAGGTCAGGTGTCAAAAATGGGTCTAACTATGCAAAGATCCATGTAGAGAAGGAGGTGTGTCCTTTCTGGAGGATACAGAGGGGAATTGTCCCGTAGGGAATTGCCAGCTTCTAGAAGGCAAGTATACTCCTTAGCCTCTGGCAACTTTCCCTGTCTTGAGAACCAGAACAGAATTTTTCTCTTCTCTGCTTCTAACCCTTCTGCTGCCCTATTATAAGGTTCCTTATAATGTCATTAGTGTCCACCTGGAAAACCCCAAGATAAGCTCTTCTTCCTCCAACCCTTCATTTAATGGCATTTGCAAAGTCCCTTTGCTCTTTAAGGTAGCATACCCATGGCTGCAGGGATTTGGACATGCACATCTCTGCCGGCCATTGTCCTGTTTCCCCCAGTCCCTTATGCAGGAGTTTAGAAAACTTAATTATCACCCCCTCCAACCCTGCTCCACCACGAAAACAACATAGACCCAAAGAAAAGGCTCCCAGATAAGGCCCCTGGAGGTAGCCATCCCCCAGAATGCTAGGTCTCTGCTTGATCATCCCACAAGGTGCCCCAAGTTAGCCAGTGACTGTTGAATTTTATCTCCCAAGAGTTGGGATTGATGAAAGGGCCTAAACTATGATAAGGAAAAAAAAGACAAGACCTGGAAATTAAACAGGAGTTACACAGTCAGAAAGCAGATGATACAGTGGGCTAGTAGAGATCAAGTCCAAATTAAAGGAAGGAGGGCAAAAAGTAAAGGTAACAGGTGTTTCCAGTGCCAGATAGCTTATAAATAGTATTGATCAACATTTGGAAATTCTGGTAAAGCATATGAAAATAGGAATTCTGAACAGACAGCATGTAGTTTAGAAATAGATAAGGACTAGGGGCATGCTGAAGTGGCAGAATGCTTGTCTAGCAAGGACAAGGCTCTGAGTTCAATCCCCAGTAGGGAAAAAAGCCAGAGGAGGGTAAGGAAAGGGAGAGAAAAAAGGAAAGGAAAAAAGGCAGATAGAGTATAGAATGAGGGGACTGATGAATGTCTTTATAAAGTTTTAATACTAATATTTTAATTTGAATCTATGCACCCATTACTCTCTGATTTAAAAGAGTTCCAGAAAAGTCTTTGAATCATGTTCATCTGAGATGCTCCTAAAATCAGACTTGGACATGCTCAGTGTTAACCTGCTGGTGGCTGTAGTCAACTGGGCTTTGCTGGGCTCCATGTCACCTCCACACCTGCCTGAACACTCCCAAAGACAAAAAATTCTTGTACCACAGAATCATAATTAAAAACAATATAGGGGTCAGAGCAATTTTGCATGTGTACATAATCCCTTTATGCTCTTATCTGTATTCAGTGGTAGTTAAAATATGGGCCCAATATCGAAAGTCAACCGAAAGCATTTATTTTCTAGCCTTTGTGTAAACACTTGCTTAAACCATTTTATAAATTTTTAATCTCATAAAGAACATCTTAAAATTAGTCCTGGCCCAGGATGAAGTTGCTTCAAGTGAGACAGCCGCACCTATCCCAGGCGCATCATAATATGAAACTCAGCTAACCATTTGCCTATAAAACTGCAGGGAACAAACCGGATTCCTACCAGCTTTCCCTCTCTTCTTGTTCTAGGACATAGGAAAACCATTCAGTGATACTTCCATTGCTGGCATAAACTTGATCTCCAGCAGTGAGAGCTCCACTCTCCAGTTGTGGCCTGAAGAGCCCAGCAACTTTCACCCCACCTATAAGGGAGCCTCTGCAGTCTTTTGTATTCAGCTATTTTGTATTGATGAGAAATATGAAGCAAGGCAAGTACTCCCCTCTAGGTTCTCTATTTTGATGAGAACTTCTTATAGCAATGGTGGGACAAGGTTTAAATCTGACAGAACAAGTGGTCTCCAAACTTAACCTCTTATCCTAATATCCTGGGTTTTATTTTTTGAAAAACAAAACAAAATGAAACAGATTTCTGGGCCCCATCCAGAGATTCTAGTATATAAAATTTGGGTAAGGCAAGAAAGCTGGCCAGTCTAGCTGTCACCTACATTATAATTGAAGATGGAGAAAATTACCACCATGTGATCGTATGCTGCTATGATTCTTAACGTTTGTACTTCTTGAAAACTTCAGGTTTGGGTTGGCTCTTGCCTGGGGCCTTTTGGTTGTAGCTAACAGAAAATACAATTAAAACTGGCTTGAACCAGGCACTGGTGGTTCACACCTTTAATCTTAGCTCCTCAGAAGGCTAGGATCCAAGTATCACAGTTCAAAGGCAGCCCACTAGCCCAGGCAGGAAAGTTCATGAGACTGATCTCCAATTACCCACAACAGAGCTAGTAGTGGAACTGTGACTCAAGTGACAAAGCACTAGACCTGAGCAATAAAGCTCTAAGACAGTACCTAAGTCCTGAGTTCAAGCCCAAGTACTAGAGGGCATAAAGGGAGGCACTGGTTTGATAGCCAGACACCGGTGGCTCACTGAATAATCCTAGTTACTCAGGAGGCTGAGATCTGAGGATTGTGGTTAGAAGCAGCCTAGGCAGACAAATCTGAGAGATTCTTGAGACTCTTACCTCTTAATTAACCAGTGAAAAGTTGGAAGTGGAGGTGTGATTGAAGTGATATAGGGCTGATCTTGAGTGCAGAAGCCAACCAAGAGTACAAGGTCCTCAGTTCAAGTCCCAATACTAACACCAAAAGTAAATAAATGAGAAAAATTGACTTGATTAAAAAATGTAATTTCCTCACACAACTGAAGATAACTCAAGTGATAAGGCCAATTTTAATTAGGGCTCAATCCCAGACTTCTAATTAAAGATCGCCTCTCGATCTCTGCTCAGGTCCCCTGCTATCCTCTACTCTTATGGAGGTGTCAACTTCTTTGGGCCAAAGTAGCTGAGGAAAACGTTCTGGTTTATTTTCCAGCAAAGGTTCTTAGAAGCCTGAATGTACCGTGAAGCAAATGCTTCAAGATGAACTCAGTCTCGTGCTTCAAGCTGTACCCATTTTTGAGGCTCTAGATAAGTGGGACACCCTTATCCAGTCAAGGAGAGCTGTTGGATAATGGAGGCATGATGTTGAGCACAGAAAGACTGAATGTTCCCAGATCATCACTCAGTCACTCCACTCCCTTTCCCTCCAGAATGAGTGCTGCCCCCACCCCACACTAAATAGGGACGACTGGACCTGAGACCCAAGCTCCACATCTCCTTTGAGATGTTTCCTACATCATTTGTCCACAGAATGTTCTTAAAGAGGAAAAGACTGACTGGTTTCAATAGAGCTTGAATCTTTCAGATGACCAAGAACAATATTGGCCATTTCCTTTTTAAGAGGATAGATTTAAATATATCCCCAATCTTCTAGTTCTTTCTAGAACCATGTTTTACTTTTACATGTGTGTATATATATATATATATATATACACAATATACAATTTCAACTTCTAAGAAATCTTAGAATTGGAATTTTTTAAAAACATTCTGAACTTTACAACTTTGGGGGGGGATTGGGTGGGGGGACGGGGGGGAGGCTGGGAAGGGATGTGAAGGGTAAACAAAGGAGGAGGCTGCAATGCTTGATAAGAAATGTACTCATTATCTTGCCCATGTAATTGTAACCCCTCTGTACAGTATGTTCACAATAAAACTAAAATAAATAAAAAAATTCTGACTATATTGTAGAGATCTGAAAAGCTCGTACAGTAAAGCTCTTCTAGATTTGTTATTTTATGTTTATTCCCCTTATGTATTTAGATATGATTAGGCCTAGATGCAATTTGGGGGTCTTTAAATAGAAGTTGAATAAGCTTATGATTTACCTGTGAGTGTGTGTAGGCTTCTGTCAGAAGATAGCTTGCAAAATAGAGAGAAAGAAGATCATACTGGACTATAGTATACCCATGTCTCTACCCAAATCCTTCAAATGGAAAGCAAGTACCTTATCCACAGAATGACCATCTTTTATTTGGCTTTTCAAATGTGCAGAAATTATTCATCATGATGACAGTATCTACTGTTTTACAAAATATTAGTGACATCTGAGGTTTATGGTTTATGCAGCCAATTAACACAGTACTAGACACAAATTCAGAAGAGTGGTTGGCTATTCAATACTGCCCAACGGGAGAAAGCCACAAATATCTTTAAATGCCCAATGATGCTACATTTATTTGCTATCCAGTGACAGTGTATTCTATCTTGTTTACAGGTCACTGGATTTTATGAGTTTTGTTTTCAGTCTTTTTCCTGTAAGTACCTGCTAAATTTTGAGTAGCATGACTAGTTTCATAGTTATAGTTATAGAAAAGTAAAATATCATGTTCATTATGTAGACATTTAAAATGCTATGAATGGTGACATTTGAACTGTATCTGTGTTCTGAGAATAATGACATACCATCAACACAAAAGGAAATACCATCATTTTCAATAATTCATCAGTCATGCTATTTTAACAGTTTTCTTTCAATGTATAATTTCTTTAGAGATCTTTTTCTTTTTCATCTTAAAATATCTAATAAACCCTTGGTGTTTTTTATTAGAATCAAATCATTCATAGTAGTACATGAAAGTGCCAGATATTGCACTAAAGTAAATTAGATCACTTAGTAAATTTAAACTTCAGTGAATTTAGGGAGCCAGACTTTCTAGCTGATCCTGGCTCAAGTTATTCAGAAATCATTGTACCACTTTTTTTTTTGTAGACAGGAAAGTAGATTTTTGTGGCTGATTTTCAGGCTCTCTCCTTCCCTACCTGTTTCTAGGGCCTTACTAAGGGTCTGGCATGGCTTACATGGTACGCAGGCATCCAGATTTAAGCAGGGAACTTTATTTCAGGGTGGGTTGACATTTTTCCCTTCCTCCTACTCCTCCACCACCACCACCTCCTCCTTTTCCTCCTCCTCCTCCTCCTCTTCCTCCTCCTCCTCCTCCTTTTTGCTTGTCCTAAGGCTAGGACTCAGGACCTGGGCACTATCCTTGAGTATTTTTTTGCTTAGGCTTGTCACTCTAACATGTGAGCCACAGATCTATTTCTAGCTTTTTGATGGTTAATTGGAGGTAAAAGTCTTATGAACTTTCCTGCTTAGCTTGCTTTGAACCACAATTCTATCTGAGCTTCCTGAGCAGATAGGATTACAGGTATGAGCTACCTATTCTCAGATATACTCTTTCATCCCTGTTTCATTGTTACCTCAGCATAAAAATTATAATCCATTTGTTAGCACTTCTGAGAAGTATAGAGAAGAAAGACAATTGAGAGACAAAAATGGATTTCCATAAAGTTTTGTCTGCTGAGTCAATAAATATACTACTTCAGTTGGCTTACTTCAAGCAAAATAGCTATCATTGCTACTCTCTTTTATACCAATGGGAAAATAAATATAGTTTAATTTTGTTTCCTGAATGTCATGTAATCTTAGGTTTTATTTTATCATTTAAAGAAAACATAATGAGGCCTTGAAAAAAGGGCAATATATTCTTCATTGTAATTTCATTGAATTAATTTTAAGACATTTTCAAAGCTCATAAGGCAGTATGGACTAACCCCAACATAGAATTTCCAAAGGCTGTTTCTCTTAAAGATGTCTCAAAGATTTTTCTTTAAACTGGGTTTAATTCCTGTTTTCAAGTCCACCTAAAGGTAAATCCACTAGCGTTTTGAAAGCAGTGCTGGAGTAGAAAGGTAGAAGACCTACTCACCTTCTAATTATATTTGATTTGGGGATGTGAGGACAGAAGAGCAAAATGCCTTCATGACTTCATCCTTAATCCTTCAAGTTGAAGCAACTCATTATAGTTGGTTTACTTCTCCCTGTGGAAGCCCCGCCAAGAGGTGGCACCCAACCCTTATTTTCAGCTTGAGTAGTTTGGCAGCCTGATATTAAAGTTTCCCAAAAGGAGTTGTATTAATTTTGCTAGAAAGAAGGAAGACAAAGTCAAATAATGATTCACTCCTTTGGGTTGCACAAATATCCTGAGGGTTTTAGATTAGCACAAGTAATACCTTCACAGGGTTCAAGGGGAGGCGAGATCCCAAAGGGACAAATTAGCTCTGGGAAGAGCAGGCTGCATCTGCGGGGACCTGGCAGAGGATCAAGTGGCTGCAAGGGACAGACAGCCTAAAGCAGTACCATCCATAGACATAAATGCGAACCACACTAGTGATTCTGAATGTCCCACTGGACATGTGAACAAGTTGAATAACAGATTTTATCTAGTTCAGTATGTCCTGGATTTAGTCACCTCAACATATAATCTACATGAAAAAATATTAATGAGTGATTATACTTTTATCCATAATAAAATCCAATATGTATTCTACATAATAGCATGGATTAATGCAAATACAGAATTTCTGTTGAACTACTTGATTTATAGTATATTTTGTAACATTGATAGTCTCATAAAAAGATTCTTAGTTGGATGCCAGTGGCTCATACCTTTAACCCTACCTAGCTACTCAAGAAGCTGAGATCCAAGGATCACAGTGCAAAGTCAGCCTGGGCAAGAAAGTCCATGAGACGCTTCTCTCCAATTAACCACTAAAAGAGCCAGAAGTGGAGCTGTAGCTCAAATGATAGAGCACTACCCTTGAGCAAAAAAAGCTCAAGGATAGTGCTCAGGTCCTGAGTTCAAGCCCCAGGCCTGGAACAAAAGAAAAAAATTCATGCATTCAAGTTAGAATGAGCCGATTTGCATAACCTAAGCCCACATAAAAAACTTCTCCAATAAATGAAATTGGATACTGGTTTTTAAAGTTTAAATGAGTTTAAATGAAATTAATTAAAAATTCAGTTTCTTTAAGAAGTTCAGGATGTATGAAATATGTTTGAAATGTATTTTCTTGTAAATAGGAAGCTTGGGATGTGTTTTGGTAAACATCAGTTAAACCCCTAACAAAGGAAAAATCCAGAATGTGGTCTTTGCTTCTGACTTATTGCTTTGTTTACTGGAAATTGCTATTTGTGATTATTGACTGTTTCTGTCACGTACATACCACTGGCATGTGTCCTCTTTCCTTGATAAGCCATTCTCTGTGTGAGAGAACTTGATCACTATGCTTCACTACCTGATGAGTGGGGCGTGGTTGCACTCAGCTAATAAAGACTCCTTGTCCTTAAAAAAAAAAATTCAGTTTTAGCCAGTAACAGTGACTCATGCCTGTAATCCTAGCTGCTCAGGAGGCTGAGATCTGGAGATCGTGGTTCAAAGCCAGCCCAGGCAGAAAGGCTATGAGACTCTTATCTCCAATTAACCACCAGATAACTGGAAGTGGCACTGTGACTCATGTGGTAGAGTGCACACCTTCAGCTGAAAAGCTGAGGGACAGTGCACAGGCCTAGAGTTCAAGCCCCATGACTGACCAAAAAGAAAAAAAAATCAGTTTCTTAAGAGCCAGTGGCTCATGCCTATAATCCTAGCTACTCACAAGATTGAAGCGTGAGGATGACAGTTCAAAGCTAGCCCCCACAGGCAAATCTGTGAGACTATTCAATTAACCATTAAAAAAAAAAACAGAAGTAGAGCTGCGGCTCAACTGGTAGAGTACCAAGCCTTGAGTGAAAAAGCTAAGGGATTGTACAATCTCAGAGTTCAGTCCCCAGTACTGGTACAAAAATTAATTTCTTAGTTATATACCACCTGCATTCCAAATTGTCACTAGCCAGATGTGGCCATATGGACAGCAAAGATTTAGAATTTGTAAATGGTGTCTGTCAGCACATGCAGATCTTCCTGTGCCCACTAAACCTACTATGCAGATTCAATCTTGCCCTTGGCTTTTTATCAGGAATCACAACATGATAACACACACTACACACACACACACACACACACACACACACACACACTTATGTATAGATCCAGAAGGGGTAGGGTAGCTCTCTCATCTCACCCAGGCTATAGTTAGGTCACTTAGTAAGTGAAAATCTTTGCTCAGATACAATGCTGGTTCACTTACTTATGGACACAAGTGAATTTGAAAGTGAGAATGCTTTAAAATCTCTATCTCAAAAATAATTAGTGCAAAAAGAACTGGAGGTGTGACTCAGAAGTATAGCACCTGCCTACCAAATGCCAGGTCCTGAGTTCAAATCCCAGTACCATATCCCCTCGATTTAAACAAACAACAAAAAGCTCTACCAAATGGGTGTTATTCTTTCAATATTGATTTTTTCAGTTTTCAGCCAGACTCAGATATTTCCTCCTTACTCTTCTAGTGGGCCTAGCTCCCTGAATTTTATGTGATTACTTTCCAAATTGTAGGCAGATTTATTTTCCGTATCTTTTCCTAAACTCATTCATTTTGCTTCTATTTTCCCTAGTGTTCTAAAACAGGAGTTTGGTTAATGATGGATGTTTTTAACTATATCCTGTGTTCTGGGTTCTAATCACATTAGGACAAAGACTTCTGCATGATTTCTCTGCCCCATCTCACTCCTGAGTTTGTCCTCGTCCAGAACTTCGTGAAGATCATCCCCTTCAACAATTGTAGCCTCAACCATGACCTCTATGTCTTTCATCGGGCTGGATTGCTCAAGTATGTGAATACATCTTCAGCATGTGACAATCCATGAAACTGAGAGAGTGAGGGGAGGGAGGGAGGGAGGGAGAGAGAGAGAGAGAGAGAGAGAGAGGACTTTTGCTAGAGGATGAGCAAGTAATTTTTAACTAATATGTGTAAGGGAAGACTAATGCTGAGAAGAAACATCCTACCAGGTATTAAACATAATATAGATCCACAATAATCAGAATAGTGACACACTGCCAATAGACAGAACAAAATAACACAAGAAAGAATCCCTCCACAGACCCTGTGTATAAATGTGTAAATGTATACATTGGTGATAAAGTGTATGTCCCAGTAGTGAGAAGAGGAAAGATTATTCTGTTAATAGTAGGGCAAAATAAAGATAGAGACCTTTTTTCATATTTTAAGGTAAATAGATTCCCAGGTGACTGAGGAGTTAAACGGAAATATTGAAAACAAGATAATATAATCCTAGCTACTCAAAAAGTTGAGATCTGAGGACTGATGTTAACAGCCAGCCAAATTTGAAAGAGTGTTTCTCCATTAACCAGAACAACATTAGAAGTGAAGGCATGGCTCAAGTGGTAGAGCACCAGCCGTGAATGAAAAAGCTGAGTGAGAGCTCAAGGCCTTGAGTTCAAGCCCTAATACTGGTAAAATAAGTAAGTAAATAAATAATAGACTATATAGGATGGGGTGTGGTGGTGCACCACTAATCCCAACCCTCCAGAAGCTGAGGCAAATGCATCTCTTGAGATATAGTGAATTCAAGGCCACCATCTTAAAGGAGAAAAAAATAGGAAACAAATGCTCATTGCTAAGTACTAGAATACAATGGAGAACAACCTACAGATATGATCCCCACCTCCTGTCTTTTTAAGACTCAAGCACACATGTAAATGTGAATCTGCAAGTGTCATGGGAATAACATGGCATGGATCAATGGTAGAGTGAGAACTTAGTGTGCATCAGGTGGGCCTGGGTTTTTCCCTTCTATGCGACAAAAGAAAAAAAAATCAGCATGTTTTTTAAATAGTGTTTTCATATCTAATTTTAATTTGACTGATAATTTTTTAAAGCTGTCTCAGAACACCATAGCTACATGCTGGACTTCAGGAAGGGTAGAATGAACAAAGGTAGAATGAGAAGCACTTTTCTTTTGAGGGACATAGAATCCCTTTTCTTCACTTTTGGAGGTCAGGAACTTGGCTGCCTGGCCCTCCCTGGCTGCAGGGGGAGGTAGGAGATGCATCACTAGTCAGTTAAGCATGTTCCCAGAAAGAAAAAAAATGATTCAATTGATTCCATTATTCAGAACAAGAGGAAAGAGGTTATGACAGGACTATCATGTATAGTTTTTATTTTGCTATGTACAGAAGTTCTAGAAAGATACATAGGGTTCTATTTACCTGATGCCCCTCTGAGATGCAGGGCTGTGGGATGGATAGAATGAAGATGATCGCTTATTCTTGCTTTGTTTTCATTAACTCAGCTCCATTTTTAAAAGAGCAATTTTATTTCACAGCAAAATAGAGCAGAAAATGCAGCTTCCACATGCTCTTCCCTTACCCCCATCAATGATGCCCAGCTCCAGAATGGTCCATTTTAACAACTGATAAACAGATATATCAATATCAACCCAAGGCCATAGGTTATATTAGGTTTCCCTCTTGGTGTTATATGATCTATGCAAAACGTATACTGACATAATAATATACAAAGTGGTTTCACTGCCCTAACAATCCTTTGTACTCTGCCTGCTCATTCCTAATTCCCTGTAATCCTGGCAACTAGTCTATGATTCCCCTTCTTTTTTTTTTTTTTTTTTTTATTGTAAAGATACTATACAGAGGGTTACAGTTACATGAGTGAGGTAATGAGTACACTTCCTCTTGAACATTGTTAGCCCCTCCATTGTTTTCCCCCTACCATCCCCTCCCTCCCTCCCTTCCCCGAAGTTCTTTTTTTTTTTTTTTGATTGTGATTAAGTTATGATTCCCCTTCTAAGGCACCTTGGTTGCTTCCTCCGCCTAGGTTGAACTGTTATGAACAAAACCGTTTATATAAACACATATGTGCAAAGCTCTCATGTGGACATAAGTCGTTAACTTACTCGGCTAACAAAGCATGAAAATGCTGGATGCTATGGTCAGAATGTGTTCACTTCTGTAAGAAACTGGCCAAGTGTCTTCCAAAGTTGCTCCACTTGTCTGAGGATTCCCCCTGCCCCACACCTTCACAAGCACTTGCTGTTCTTAGTGATTTGTTCATTCTAGAAAGCATCAAGTGGCACCTCATTGTTGTTTTGAAAACTTCCAAATCTGTAGTGAAGTATGGTGTTGAACAAAAAAAAAATCTATTTCATTCTAATTCATTCTGTTTACTGTGCTGAAGAAGCAGAAGTGATCCAACAGAAATCCTTGCCCTCATGAGCCTATACTCTGGCTAAAGGAAAAAGACATAAAAAGAAGACATAGGAGTTAAGGGGCAAATAAGGCAAGTACAAGAGGGAAGGAGGGATGTGGAGGAGGCTACTTGCCCCCACGGTGCACAACAAAGGTGACTTGAATGAAGGCATGAAGAGGCGAGAGACTCATCACGGGGGCGTGGTGAGGGCACAGGATCTTGCCGTCTATTCTCTTTATACCATTGTTTTAAAATATAACACGATCTTCCATGTAGGTATTTATTTTTTTGCTGCACTCCCTTTGACATTTGGGATGCATTGTTCCTGCTCTTAAGTTTGGTTACTTTAAATTTCATGACTTCATGTTCTTGTCCTCCACCTCATTTCCTCCTTCCTCCCCTGGGAAATTATATTTTGTGTCTATCATCTGCCCTCTGGCCATGCTGATGAGCACCAGGACAAATAATTCATTGAATTCTTAGTGGTGGCTACCTATTCTGTCAGCAATTCTACACCCCGCCTCCACGTAATCGCTTTCAGTGACTTCATCTTTTGAAAAGAGTATATCCCCCAATGGTTATGCAAACATTAAATGTGGACAAATGACGTTTTTGTTTCAACACTTTCGCATTGAATAGTAATCTCTAGGATGTTTCCAAGCTTAATATAGGGTAATATAGTGTAAAATGCTTTTCTCTTTTTTCCTCCTTATTCTTTACCTGTTCACTGGCCTTTCCTCCTTACTTATTCATTAGTGCAGGATGTATTTGGTGGACTGGCTGCTCATTCCATCTTGCTGCTTCTCCAAGCTGTTCTGAAATCTGACATTAAAAAAAATTGGGCAAATATGTCTCAGATGGATACATTCCATTAATATTTATTGTGCTAGGAATTATTTCCCATGAATAAAATAGCCTTTGAATTGGATCATAGAAGTTTGTCGGCTTTGCTCAGTAAATGAAAATGTCTTAGGTAGCTGACCTCTGAATAGATCTTCCCCTCTGTTCGTCTTCTGTGTGTGTGTTTCATCTGTTTTTCCAAGTGGCTCACTTGGGCCTGGTTGCCTTTTTATCACAATGACAACTATTTGAGACCCACATTATCATGGAGAGTATTTAGTGATGACAATCCTCTTGTGCTCTTACTTAGCCTCATTGACTAGAATCCAGTAGAAACTTCCTTTTTTTATTTTGTCATTATTTCTATTTATGGTTGTCTTTTGGTGATGTTGGTTTGTTCATTTGGTTGGTTGGTTTGGCTTAAGCTGAAATACCAGTAGCTGGATAATTGCTTTGTAGATCTATGACATTGTTCCACTGACAGTCTACCCGGCCCTCCCCCACGCCCGGAATTTAGAAAGTCTCAGATCATATTTTCTTCTTTCTACTGTTATGTTTTCACTTACTGGCATCAACAACACCCTGTTTTCTGCAAGGTTGACATGAAATAAATTGGACACACACATATACTTGTAGGTGTCTAAAACTATGCACTTCTTCAAGTTAGGGCTGAAAAATCATGTGATAAATATTTTCCTTTCCACTTTGATATATTGTTTTCTGTTTTAGAATTTCTCTTGTGACTTTTGAGGTTGGATTCAGCCAAAAAAATCAGTAAAAGAATAGAAATGTCATGTGACGCAGGTGACCAAAAGACTGTAAATCCCAAGAAGGGACCATTGGGCAGGGATTTTCACATTTCTCCATGGAGATTGGACATTTCCTGAGAACTAATGGGTACATCAGAGAGAGAGTGTGTGAGAGAGAGAAGAGTGACCTGGGTATGGGAAGGGTTAGGAGAGCAAACTCCTCAATAGACCTTGCTTTTCCTGGTGATGGAGGGAGCCCTCTGGATGGACAAGGAAAACCCTTTAAGCTCTCTTCATACATTCAGGGTGGCTTCAGAGCTTTCCTGGACCTTGAGTAAAGAACAAGTAAACTATTCTTGGTACTGAGTATCTATTTACTTTTGGGAAGGTCAGATAGGAAACAGAATGAGAGAGAAGGAGATGGGAATGTTCTTTTTCTAGGTGCTAAGCTTTGAGGCTGAAAGGTAGGGTCTACCATAGTAGCCTTAATGGACAAAGGAAGATCAGAACCTTCTTATGTGACGCTGTGAAAAGGTACAAGCAGGGTCACACTTGGGTACGTCCAGTAAGCCACCATCTTTGCTAGTTCCGCCAGGACTCAGACTCATGTATAGGCATCAAAAAGACTTAGTTTTTTTTTCTTTCTTTTTAAATTGTTATTGTAAAGTTAATGTACAGAAGGTTGCAGTTAGATAAATGAGATAATGAATACATTTCTTTTTGAACAGTGTTGCCTCTTTCCTTCTTTTCTCCCAGTTTTCCCCTCCCGATCCCCCTCTCTCACAAGTGTTATAGTTCATTTTCAACATACCATCTAGTAAGTGTAACTACTGCTTTCATTCACCCTTTGTCCCACTATTTCTGTGTTCCTCCTTGCCCTCCCCCAAACAGATAAACTTACATACAAGACAAAAGGTACAGAAAGCAAAAGCAGTGACAAAGGAGGGAAAAAAATAAGCAAAATAACATAAAACCTCTTGTTTCCATTTCCTGGAGTCCATTTTGATAAGTATC